GAAGTAACCAGGCTCGATCATAGCTACCTTCACTCCAAAGTAGGAGAGCTCCCTCCTGCAAGGCAGACAGGCAGAGGGGCAAGGACTTGGGAGGCTTCGGGGACAAACACGACAAACAAACAAACTTGATATAAACCTAACTCGGGATTGGGGTAGGATCAACTCAAAAGCTTGGGAAGGTTCCAAGAGCAGCGGCCAGGGGGAGAAAATAGTGATGAGGAATAGTCCGTGTATAATGTGCGTGTGTTTCCCAGTATGGTCCGCGCGCTGCTGAGCCCACATCCTGCCTAGCCTGCTGCAGGGCACCCCTCACGCGCCATCTCCTCCTATTTCTCCTCACATCCAATCCATCTCCAGACTTTGCCCATTTTACCTCCTGCCTCATACCCAGAGCCAACTTCTGCCCTGCAGCTGGTGGGCTCCCCAGAGGCTGATTTGACAAAGTTCCCCTGAGTAAACCCCTTCCACGGGGTCCTGTTGCCAACAGCATGAAGGTTTGCAGCCTGTCCGGTCCCCCACCCCCTACCCCCACCCCATCTCCACTGCCCGCCCATGCCCACCTGCCCAGCATGACCCCTGCCCAGCCAGGCCTTGTCCGGTAGCCTGGAGGACTATGCCGCATAGGCCATGACTCATCTTGGGCTTCGGCTTGGGCTTGGGCTTGAGTGGTTCCCTCCCGCAGGAGGCCTTCCCACTCAACTTTGCCAGGTTGCCAAGTTCATTTCTTCAATCCTCAGCTCAGGCCCTTCTCCAGGACCCTCCCCTCATTCTGCTGGCCACCCCCACCACCATGGCTAACTGGCTTGGTCACAACCATCATGAGAGATGGTCACGACATTTGTGTCTCACTTGTCCCTTTCTCAGCTGTCAGACTTTTTTTTTTTTAAAGATTTTATTTATTTATTTGAGAGAGAGAGAGAGAGCACGAGGAGTGGGGAAGGGCAGAAGGAGAGGGAGAAGCAGACTTCTCATTGAGCAGGGAGCCCGACATGGGACTCCATCCCAGGACCCTGAGATCATGACCTGAGCTGAAGGCAGACACTTAACCTACTGAGCCACCCAGGCGCCCCTCAGCTGTCAGAATTTTTAGGTCAGACACTTATGTTGTATACTCACAGAAGTGCCGAGAAGTAACTATTGAATGGAGTCAAATGCTGGACCCCCACGTGAAGGGCCCCCTGAAGCTGAATATTATAGGAATTATGGACATGAGCTCTGTAGCCAAATGATCTCAGGTCCAGTGCTGCCTCAGACACTTCCCTACTGTGGGCCCTCCCCCAGGGCAGCGATGGGTGAAACCAGTTCTCTATGCCTGGGGCCTATTCCAACACCCAGAACATAGGATGGTGCTTCCCAATGAATGTCTGGCACAAAGCAAGAGAGAGGCATCTGGAAGGAAGAGCCTCTGAGGCTGTGAGGAAATGAACCCCCTAGAAAAATCTCCCCCAGGGTGCCTGGGTGGCTCAGATGGTTGAGCATCTGCCTTCGGCTCAGGTCATGATCCCAGGGTCCTGGGATCGAGTCCCGCATTGGGCTCTCTGCTCAGCGGGGAGCCTGACTCCCTCTCTCTCTCTGTCTCTTATGAATAAATAAATAAAATCTTTAAAAAAAAAGAAAAATCTCCCCCAGAAGTATAGACGCAGGGGGACTGAGGGAGGGCTTCTGTCCCAGTTCAATACCTGAGGGAGTCCGAGAAGGCCTCGACGCCATACTTGGAGATGCAGTAGCCCCCACCAAAAAGGGACAGCCGGCCCATGATGCTGGAGACATTGACCACGCGGCCCCTCGCCTTCCTCACTAGGGACAGCAGGCTCAGCGTCACCTCCAACAACCCCAACAGGTTCACGTCAAGTATCTTCATGAAGTCACGCCTGGTCAGCCACTCATTGGGTGCCGTGGGCACAGAGATGCCCGCATTATTCACCAGGCCCCAGAGTCCTGGGCACAGGGTAGGGAGAGAGCAACATTGTCTGTGTGCATGAGTGAGACACAGTTGTGGTCCAAGTCACCTTCCAACCCACTTTTTTACAGAACCAACAACAATGCCTACATGGTAGAAAGGAAAAGAGCGCAGGAAAGGAACTAGGGACAAGGCGGCTACGGGGGGCCAGGGTCTGCCCGCACACTGAGCTACTGGATGCTCACTGAGCTAGAAGGACTGCTCCTTCTCGTCTTGCTGCTCCTAGGTGCCTGGTGTGCAGGAGGCAATAAGCCCATTTTTGTGAAGAGTGTGCCCAGAGTTCCAGATAAGAGCATAGTGTTCACAACTCTCACAGAAAAGAGACAGCGAGAGGTAGACAGGGATGGTTAAGTGACAAAAATGAAGGGGAAACTGGAGAAGAAAAAGGAAAGAGAAAATTTAAAAATAAATGAAAGGGAGAAAAAACATGAAAACGGACTGCCCACACTCCGTTGGGAAAGACAGACATGAAATTCCCACATCAGGGTAATCTAGAGACCAGGCCTGTGCTGGGCCCCACGGGGCAGGCTTTGCAGCAACCTGTGCCGACTCCCAGGGGGCGCCTGCTCGGGAAGCCAAGCCTGGCCTCTGTGCTGTGGGCAATGCCAAAGCTCACCCTGCAGTGGACGTCCGGGCAGGCTTCGGGGAGGTGACGAGGCCTCATGCCACACACTAGTGCAGACTGCATCCTTAGCCCCAAGAAGTGTCACCCTCTCCTTCACCCTCCCAAAAGTTCACTCTAGTCCCCTCCTCCTAGGTCCCCAGCCCACTCAGCCTTCAGGAAAGCTCCCCCGAAGAGATGGGGAGAAAAGACACAACAAAGGATTTGAAATAGTCCTCAAGTCAGCAGGTTCTGGTCCTCAGTGACAAGGGGCTGGTGGTAGGGAGAGGTGGGGGGGGGGGAAGGGAAGGACAGGGTTTGGCCCTGGGAATACTGGAAAGGGAAGAAGGCCCCCTGCAATACTCATCCCTCCCCTGCTCAGAAACCTTCCCTGGCCTTAAAGAAATGCATGCTCTCTGATCCAATTATTGTATTTTACTTAACATTCCTGAGAATGGAAACAAAGCTTTATTATAGAAATCTTCCCTGAGATGTGGTTTATACCAGCAAAAGTGGAAAACAAATGTCAGGAGACAACGATATAGGATGGCTTCAGTGAATGGTGGTCTCTCAGCATACTTGGATATACAGACATTGAATATTACGTTTGGAAAAGATTTGATGATGAAAATGTTGATCAGAGGATACATAATAATGTAGAGAGTGACTGACTCTGGAAACTGGGCTTTGGGAAATGTCCTTTTATCTTTATCCTCTTCTATGTTTTCTACGAGTGTGTTTTATACTTTTAATCACAAAAAAAGACATCAGTGATGTCCTCTTTCCTGAAAAGGGCAGGCAGCATAATGGAGGAGAAAGAACAGGACCTCCTCACCCGTATTTGACTAAAAGTCCCTCCAGCTCCCTGAGCCTCAGTGTCCTCATAAGTCAAGTGGGGCTGATCTTAAAGCCCTACAGAGGGCTGGGTGTGAAGGTCCCATCAAGAAACGGTGCACCTGCTGAGATCAGGAGCCTGGGTGGAGCTTGGCCCAGCCCCATGCTGCCCCATCACAAGCCTTGAGGGCCCAACGCCTCCTCCAGACTATTGGTCCTAAACTTGGCCTGGGCTTGTCTAATCCTGGGCTCAGACCCTGGCACTCCAGGCCTTCTGCTTAGGAAACTCCAGAGCTTGAGGCTTTGAAAATCAAAACATCTCGGGTATCTTCCCTTGCACAGAGAGGTCTCCCTTGCACAGAGAGAAGAAACAAAGAGACACAAACAGGAATCTGGGCCGTACCTCTGTCCCCCACACGTTCCTTCACCCACTGGGCGGCCGCAGAGATGCTCTCTGTCTTGGTGACGTCCAGGATCAC